GTCATACATGTTTCTACTTTTATTATATTAATATACATTATTATATTACTATTTTAATTATTATATTGCTCTATTATAAATTACTTGTTATACTATTATACGAAATAAAAATTTTAATTTTTGCGTCCCTGGATTTTAATTATACTTGGTGCATACGTTTATTTATTGTTTGTTTAAATAAAATAGTTTTAAAATTATTTTAATTAAAATAAATTAAAAAAAAGGAAAGCAATTACTTGCAATTATGTTTTAACCACTTTTATTAATCAAAAAGTTGTACTATATATTCATTAAATTATAAAAAAAAACACAAGTTTAAACTTACTTTTTGAAATGTATTGATGGTGTATCTATTGAAATATGAAAAAAATATTTAATACCATTTTAATTATATTTTTAATGAGGTTATTTGGAACTGATATTTGACAGAATCTGCTTAATTATTATATTTCCGTGAAATGCTTAAAAACGAATCTTTTAAATTATTTAGTAATTATGCGTTTTTATTTTCACGTCAAATTTATAAGAGCTTTTTTAATTTCCTTAGCGATATAATCGATTTTACAAACATATTAATTTTTAAAATATTTATTTTTAGAAATAATGATTGTTCAAATTATATTTTAAGGTTTTGTTTTTTGGTTTTTGCGATGTTTTTGTTTCGATTATCTTAATTCACAAACTTTTGTTAATTCTCTTGGAATATAAACTACGCGATAAATTTTTATTAGAAACTAAAGTATTACATGTTGATGGTATGTAAATGGTTGACGTTGAAACAGCTCGCAGGAAGCTACTGGAGGCTTTGGGTACATGTGCTGAAAAGTAAGAAGAAAGAGATAGAAGGTTTTTTAATCTCAATATGTGCATAGTTTCTTCATTTTTTTCCAAATCATTTTATTTCCATTCAAAGAAAAAAACATTTTTTTTTAGATATTGGTGTAACATGAAATTATGGTACAAACAAAAGGTTGCTAAGTACTCTAATTGATATTTTTGAATTTTTATTTTTAAGGGAAAATTATTTTGTAATGAGAATAAGTATATTGTAAGTTGAATTTATTAGTAAATCAAATAATCTACGATCTAACCGGTAAACACTTTATTCAACGTTGACGCAAGTAGTTACATTTATTACGAATTAATTTTAAAATGTTATACTTTGCGAATTCACCATACAACATTTAAATATCATACAAAAATATGTAAAACTGGCGAACGCAAAGCGTCCAAAAAAACTATTTTTGTAGTCACATAAATATAGTATAAAGTACAAATGAAACTACGATTTCTAATAAAATATTCTTTAGCTATTTAGAAAACATTTTTTGGTCTTTGGAAAATTATTTGAGTAGTCTAAATGTCAACGTGTAAAAGTTGAGCAGTATTGTAAAGTCGTAAAATTTTTTATTGTTTTATTCTTTGTTTGTTTATTGTCATAAAACATTTTAATGCGGATAAACTTCGGTACTAATTATATTTTTATGATTCGATAGGAAGCAATTTAATAAACTTATCGTTTAAATCACACGATAATAAGCTTTTCGTTTACACCACACGAACATAAGTTTATCATTTGTACTACATTTGAATTATCAAATTTACCAACAATACTTTATGTACTATGCATCGGCATTATGTTACTATATCAAAATATAGAAATTAACTTTAAATTTAAAAAAAAATTTTGAAAAAATAATTATTTTTTTAGATAACAAAAGACGAGTTTGATACACAAGCTTTTGAACTGCTTGGTCCGGGGAAAATCAATTATCATAACCAGTTTATTCTTTCGATACTTTCAAAATGTCAGAGACAAGCTGCCAGTGCTTCTGGTAATTAAATTTATGTTTAAATAACTAAAATCTTTGTAGCTTCGATTGGGAATCAAATGATGAAAAAAATGTTTCTTATTTATCCATCATTCAAAATATATATATATTCTTTGCGATAAAACAATATTTTTATTTATAGACGACCCCAAAGATGATTTAAAAATATTTTTTACAATCAAAAGCGCGAACAAAACATTTTGCTTACTTTGTGTATTTTATTTATTTATATAAAATTTTAAGGACAACTAAATATTTAAAATATACAATTTATCTTTATTACCAGATATTGTAATAAATATTTAAAAGACCTGTTGTACAAATGGTACATCACAACAACCATTGTGCAACATATATAATATTTATATTTACTTAATAATATTTTTTATTTTTTATATAATATTCAGTTGTCTTTTATTATTGAATGCTTCTTATTTTGATAAGAAACTTTGCATGAACATGTTAATGTTATTCTAACTTATTATTTTTAGCTTTGCAAAGCAAACCTTCGCAAAGGAACACTTCAAAACATCTACATCATAAACCTCGAGTTAAAAAAGCAGACCCTGGTTTGCTTACCACTGTAAATTTATTTATTTATTATGCTTTTTTTTGTTGTTATTATTTTTTTTTTAAGTTGTTGTGTTAATTGTAAATATTTTTAGGGCTTTCGGCACAGCGATCCTACGGAGCATATTTCACCGATTTCCTCAAAGGTAATCTCCTTTTTTAATAACTTTGTGTGTGTACATAATGTACACACATATGTATGTATATATACATATATGTACAGTACATATATATATATATATATATATATATATATATATATATATATATATATATATATATATATATATATATTTGATATTTTTATTAAATACAATTTTTATATTAATAAATAATTTCTATTATTTTTGATTGTTTTTATTTATATTGGCTCGTGTCGGTTGCTGTTTAGGGTAATAAATTTTTTATTTTTCTTCAAAATTTTTACTCAAGATTTTTTTTCTTATTCTTTAAGAGTCATATAAGAAACTTTATAATAAATGTTTAACCTTTAACCTCTTCACTTTTACGTATCTCTAAGTTGTTCTTTTTAATGTGTCTTTTAAGTTGTTCTTTTTTATAACACAATATTAAAAATAGAATAAATAAATTCAGATTAAATTATTTGTGAACTATTATATAAATATATTTATAAAATCTCAAGGTGCACATCAGGACTTTGTGTTATGCTCTCAGGAGTTAGTATTACCAGATATTGCAACGCTACAAGGGCGTTTGTTTCTCGGTGCATGGGATGTAGGCTTAGAAACAATTGCTGACGATTCTGCTCCACTATTAGCATCGGCATTAGAGGTGATTACTTATCAATGAGATAAATATTTTATTGAAATTTAATAAATTTTTTTTTTAAACTTCGTATTTGTTATAATTTGTAGACAAATGTCATGGCTTAGCGATATTGTATATATTTTATAAGTTGATTTTTTCAAAATCAACGACAATAAAAAGCTACATTTGTTAAACATGTCTCTCGATTTTCGAAACATGTCTCTCGATTTTCGAAACATTTGTTAAACTCTCGATTTTCGCATATTGCAAGATTTTTGTTCACTGATTGTTGCAAAATTGAAAAGAGGTGAAAAAATTGAAAAGAGGTGTTCATAATTAATACTATTTTGATTGAAATAAATTGTTAAACATTTTTAGGCTCAGTTAAAAAATATATTGTCACTATGCGTTATCCGTAGAAAAGGTTCGGCCATAAGATCAGGAAGTCATTTTCGATATTGCTTTGGAGTAAATAGCCCTGAATCTGAAATGAGTAACGAGGAAAAACGATACGAAAGGTATTTTCTTTATCTTAAGAATCTTTTCCAAAATTAAAAATTTCATTTTTAATTTTGGAAAAGATTTTACTTAATTTTATCTTCGTATAGTAAAGCTAAAAAAATTCGCACGTGTGATATGGCAGAGGCCGGAGCTTATTCAAAAATTGCTGCAAGTGACCCTGCAACTTCAGTCGTTGCTCCAATCTCGTTATTTGATCTAAGAGATACGATTCAGGTAAATGTTTTTTTCATTTCTTTCGTGTTCTTAATTCATTTTATTTATACGTTTTTGCTGTGTGTTTTCATATTTATTTATTTTAAATGATTTTATTTCCGTATTTTTTTTTTAATTCAAACTTGTGTTTAGGCATACAGGAGTTCTATTCCTTCGCATACTGTTCGCGCTGGTTGCATGGAACGCATCTTTAACGAACTATGGTACCCAGGATGCGATGAAGTTGTTCAAAATCGGACATATATTATTGAAACACAAAAATTACACGAGAAATTAAAACAGCAACATAGTTTAAGAGTTTAACAGCAAATAACGTTTTTCTTTTAAAGTTATATATATATATATATATATATATATATATATATATATATATTATATATATATATATATATATATATATATATATATATATATATATATATATACATATATATATATATATATATATAATATATATATATATATATATATATATATATATATATATATATATATACATATATATATATATATATATATATATATATATATATATATATATATAATTTTTTTTTTTTTTTTCAAAAGATGTACAAAGAAACCTCCTACTCTTATCCATCTACTGAAACAATAGTTTGGTAAAAGTTTGAGGTGATTTGAAGCACTTTTATAATTTTATATATATTTACATCTTTAAACATTCGACAGGTCCCTAATATTATCAAAAAAAAATTTTTTAAGAGTATATCGTATTGAGTCTCAAAAGAAACTGACTTTTTTTGTTACTTATTTTTTTGTTAAAAATTAGTTATTAACAAAAAATGTGACAATTTTTTAATAGTTTTTTTAAGAAGTTTTTTTTTTTTTTTTTTGAATTTTTTTTTGAATTTTTTTTTTTTTGAGACCAAACGTGATATACTTTTTAAAAGAAAAATTGTTAATATTAGGACCTGTCTTATATTTAAGGATCTTGTACAACCTCTAAAAATGCTTCAAATCATTTCACATTTTTATTTGAGTTAATTGAAATTATCTCAAATAAAAAATTTTTTGACTTCAAAAAATAGATATATATTCTTGATTAAAAATTAATTGTTAAAAAACTTATATTTATTTAAAAATCTTCCTTAAACATATTATAATTATACTTAACTACTTCCTCCGTTTCGAAATACTGTTCTGATTTGCATTCAGCGTTAAGAATCATTGAATAAATTGTTGTTAATTTTTTTTATTTTTTACTACAATATATACCTGATTAATATTTTTTATTTGATTTTTATTGTGTTAAATAACTTATATAATTTATAAACAATACTATTTATTTTTAATAATTTTTATGTTGAATGCAAATCGGAACGGAGGGAGTATTTATGCCGTATTTAATATAGCATTTTCATACTTGATATAACATAAATAAACTTTAACTTATGAACAATAGTAATGCAACAATAGATTCTTTTAAACGGTTTAAATCATTTAAAATATGACAGTTGGTAAGTAGGATTAGTTTTCTTCCTACACCAATGTGCTGACTCATCTTTATCTTGCTACAAAGTTAAAATTTTAGACAAAACTTGAATGTGTTTGAATTACTATAAAGTTGTGTCATGATAAGACTGTTTCTATTTAATAAAATACTGCAAAAGAAAAAAAAAAGAAAAGTTTGAAACGGTGCTGTAAATACCATAAATTTTTTGTCTTTTTTTTTTTTTAATTTTTGTAACATCTCTTATTTCATTACCTGTCACAACTTTCTCTCAGCTATTTGTAGTATTCTAGTGAGTCTTAAAACTTTGCAACATCTTTGCATGCTCCCTTTGTTCCAAAATACTGTTTCGATTTGAATTCAACGTAATAATTGAAAAAAGTTATGTTGTAAAAACATTTTTTCATATTTTTATAAAAACAACAACTTGATATTAAATCAGTATTTCGGAGGGAGTAGGGATTGCATCTCGAAATTCAAAACTCGAGAATTCCGGTTTTCGTTTTTATAATATACAGGTAAAGTTCCCTTAAAAACTACGCAAATTTTGAAAATGGAGAACATCTGTTACAGGACAACTATTTGAATTTTTTTTTGTGTGATTTGAAAACACCTATTATAGGGTTTTTCTTCTCTGGAAGTCGTTATCCTTGTTTTGCCATATTTAGTGAGAATTAGCAAAGTGAATTTTCTGATTTTTTCAAAGATTTCCCCAAAAAACTACAAGGAACATAATTGTATTTATATAGATAAAAAATTTCTAAAAATTCTAAATTTTTTTCTTATATCAGAAATTAGTGTAGTATGATATATAAGGAGGCTTGCTAACTTAGTCCAACAAAAAAAAGCATTTTAGCTAGTAAAGTCCCTTAAAAACTACACGATTTCCCCCTTAAATACAACATTACATTAGGTAAAATATGCCTCCACAAGCCCACTTAGAATAGCCAGGAATGGAGAGAATGTTTATACTGATCTTCTTTAACTAAGAAATCGTAAAATGGTTATATCTGGTACCTTTCTGTTCATTTTGTGCTCAATATCTCTAATCAAGTATGTATATTCTTTATTTTTAGTGTTTAAATAAAATAATAGTATGGGAAAACCGCAATTTAATTTTAAGATTTCTGCTGGTAGAAAAAAGACAGAGCTAGAAAATAACAGAGGCAGTAGATTGGTGCACAGAAAATAAAAAACGAGGACAGGCGTTAAAAACAGGAAAGTTTCCTTTAATTAAAAATCGTGGTACAATAGACAGAAGATTAGATGGCAAAGTTAAGAATGTAAAAAAGGAACATTTGAGAGTATTACATCCAGATGATGAGTTTGTTTTATCAGAAACAAGAGAGTCCACCAGGGACTCTCTAAAAAAGAAATTTTTTAGAGAGTCCCTGGTGTTTTTAGAGAGTCCCTGGTGAGACTACTTCTTTTTTAGAGAGTCCACCAGGGACTCTCTAAAAAAGAAGTTTCTGAAGTTATTTTGTATGTTCTGAAAATCAGAGATCATTTGAACAAAAATGGAAAATTTTTATATAAAGACACAAAATAAATAACTTCTTAAAAAAACTATTTTAAAATTGTCACTTATTTTTTGTTAATAACTTATTTTTAACAAAAAATAGAAAGTTTATAAAACTATCACCAAGTGCAAAAACAGCCCTACTAAATGGAAGGTAAGTAAGTTTTTTTTTTAGCTAATTTATCAACATCCCAAATGGTACAAGGGTACAGTAGATATTAAATAGATGTAAAATACTGAACCTTATTATTCAAACTATTTAGACTCGGGAAATCATTTTGGAGAAGATGGCATACTGAACATGATATTGTCATTAAGAGGCAAGGCCGAGTTAAAATGAACAGAGCCCTAAATTATACTAGGGAGATGGCTACAGATCATCTAGGTACACATTTTTATCACATATTGTTTTTTTAGTTTTGCCTGAATATAAAAAGATCTATTTTCAATTTCATTCTCAAGTGTTCTACAACTTGGTTTTTATTCTTAAATAAGTTTATATGTTTTGTACGTTGATAATTTATGTAACTTAATTATATTATTAATTTTACAACTTTTTTTTATTCCAGATGCCTAGCTGATGAACTGATTGCTTGTAGTATAATTAAGAACTATAAAAAAACAAAATATGGTGTATGGGTTGGTGATATTGCAACAGAAAGAATTCTCAATCATGATGAAACACCACAGTTTGTCAACTATGGTGTAGATGTTACTGCCTTTAGGTTAGTTTATGCTGGCAAGGAGAGACATGTAAAAAATTATTCGCGAAAACAGAGAGTACATAACTATAAACCCATTTGTTTTATTATAAGGTGAGCCACCTGATAAATATGAGCCACCTAAACAATTTTTTACAACTAAAGTTGTGGCTTTTATTGTTTTATATTTTAAAAAGTGAAATATAATATTTATACTTTTAGGAGAGGTTTAATTGTGTCAGGTAATATTTACTGGCGAAGACAACGAGCCAGATGGCACAACAAAAAGCTCTCAGTAACATCAAAAATTTGATCGTCTCCACGACAGAGTGTGGTTCGAAAGATAACTGTTCTTTATTGGCTGCGTATAAGAGACTTGATAAACATTTCACCGAACAAGGTATAGAGCGACCAGTTATGCTTTTATCAGATGGTCATTCGTCGCGATTCGACTTTAAAGTTCTTAACTTTTTGCGTGAAAAGCAAATCAATTTGTGTCTCCGTCTGATACTACTGGAGTCACACAGCTACTAGACCAAGCACCAAATCAACAGCTCCATCGATATTATAATAACACCCGAGATGTACTCTTTTCCTCTTTCCAGTCAATAAATTGAGAAAGATTCATGAATATCCTTGAAGCAATATGGAACAATTGGGCATCCGCTGCCAATATTGTAGCAGCTGCTAAGAGAGTAGGTATAAGTAAGAATGGTCTTAAGTTGATGATATGCAACTCTAGAATCTTCTACTCCTAAGAAAACAAGAAGTGTGACCTCAAATGACGGACCTTTGGCAACAACTCCAAGATCACAATCCAAAGTCGCCCAAACAAAAGGAAGGTATGGTTCAGCCGAATATTGGAAATCAATGTATGAAATGCCACAATCATTCATTGAGGAATCATAAGAGAAAAGCCTCAATTTAGCAGAAGTGCCTGGTTTACTTTCAGTAAACTGAGTGAAACCCGAGGAGATTAATCAAACAAAAATAACAAGGGTCACTAATGTACATGGATATATGGAGGCTCAAGATGTGCTTTCAAAAGTGGCTTTTCTCAAAGGAGGAAAACAGAAAAAAAAAAACATGATTCAGAAGAGAAAAAGAAACATAAGCCTAAAAAAAAAAACTGTTTTATCGTTGCAAACTGCAATGCTCTTATGTAGGAGAATGTCTTGCAAAATCTTTAAAAGAGTGTTCGCAATGTAATTTCATTCTTAAATCTGTATTGTAGTATGTAGGCTTGTCGCATTGATAAAAAAAAGCCGATAATGATTCTCCCTGCATCTGCAGCATCATCCTCTAATTCTTAAAAAAAAAACACTCTATTTTTGTTCTGATTCAAATATTTTAAATCTTAATGACTCAAAGATATTTTTTTAGATGAAATGTTTGTTTATTGCATGTCTCTTTTTCAAAATATTTTATGCTAATCTTTTTTTTTTTGTCATTTCTTGTTATTCAAAAAATAGTTATTGCTGTTATTAAACTTGTTATTGTCTTAAATCTATACTTTTCTTATTATTTTTCATATTTCCTATTATTCACAATATACATTGTTATTGTATGAAAAGCTGGATTTCCTATTTTAAAGCTAATGACCCCTTAAAAACTACATCCAT